GCTTTTGTCAAATAAAATAAAAGTGGAGAGGGGCTGGAACAATAGCACAACAGGTAGGGCGTTTGCCTTGCACGCGGCCAACCCGGGTTCAATTCCTAGCATCCCATATGGTCCCCTGAGCACCGCCAGGGGTAATTCCTGAGTGCAGAGCCAGGAGTAACCCCTGTGCATTGCCAAGTGTGACCCAAAAAGCAAATAATAATAATAATAATAGTGGAAAAAATAGACTGTCTTCAATAAATTGTGTTGGGAAAACTGGATGTCCAAATGCACTGTCACTGTCACTGTCCTCCCATTGTTCATCCATTTGCTTGAGCGGGCCCAGTAACGTTTCCATTGTGAGACTTGTTGTTACTGTGTTTAGTGTATTGAATACGTCACAGGTAGCTTGCCAGGTTTTGTTGTGCAGGCGAGATACTCTGGGTAGCTTGCCGGGCTCTCCAAGAGGGGTGGTGGAATTGAACCCGGGTTGGCTGGGTTGGCCACGAACAAGGCAAATTCCCTACCCACTGTGCTATTGCTCCAGCATGTCCAAATGCAATAGAATAAAATTGGGACTAGAGAGATAGTCCAGTGGCGTAAGGCATTTGTTCTGCCCATAGCCAGCCTGGGTTAAATCCCAAGCCCCACATATAATCCCTGAGCATAGGGTTTACTCTGAGTGCTGTGCTCAGAGATCACTTGAGAGGATCATGCTATATAAAAAAAAGTCAGAAAGCCTAAGACCTGTGCTGGACAATCTCTTTATATGAGGTCTATGAATAAACAACACAAGGAAACTGACAATGTCCAATGAAAATATACCACTAGACTTTTATCACAGAATTGAGAATGTCAAGTACACTACTTTGAGAGACTCAAACCATCACTTTGGGTTACTGATATAAAATGGGACTTATAATGGCTTCAAAAATGGGTCAATGGTTAAATTGCTATCTGGTCAGCCTGAAGCCTTGAGTTTGATCCCTGGTGCTACCCACATGCATTGAGCACTGTCCCAGTAGCTTTGCGCTCTAAGTCCTCGTATGCTATATGGGATTTTGGGGACGCAGTCAGGTGAGTACTAAATCCAAAGATTTCTGTGGTCAGGACTGAAATGTGTGCAAGAACTGCAACTAAAAATGTGTGACCCATGGGACCAGAGAGATAGTACAGCAGGTAGGGCACTTGCCTTGCATGTGGACGATCAGGGTTTGATCCCTGGTATCCCATATGGACCTACAAGTACTGCCAGGAATGATCCCTGAGTGCAGAGTCCTGAGTAAGCCCTGCGAACTTCTGGGTGTGGTCCAAAGATCAGAATAAAATAAAATAACTTGTATGACTCCTGGGGCTGGGGAAATAGTATAGTGGATAGGGTGCCATTTCTGTTTTGGTCCCCAGCACCACATAAGAGCCCCTGAGCACCACCAGGAATGATCCCTGAGCACAATCAGCAATCAGCCCTGTGTACCAATAGATGTGGCAAAAACATTAATAATAATAATAGTAAGATTAAACCAAATAAAAGAACGAAGTGTGTGACCCCTCATGAGCACCATGGCTGAGTGTGTGTGATCCTTGGGCATCCCTGCAATAATAGCAATAAAGGGAAGGGAAGTATAAGAGTGAAAAATAAAGTGGGATTTATGGTGGTAACTTAATCTGTTGGGATTTGTGTCAGGTCTGTCTCCTAGCTGGTGTAGTTAGTTCTCAAATTCTGAAGTACCCAGTTCTGAAGTACACCACAGGAATATATATCCTGCTGTGCGTTTGTATATATACACATATAGTTCATATCCTTTACTTCCTATTGAGAAGCCTGATCCAGGGAATGGAGGTAATCATGATAAGAGAAGACAAATAGAAGTCACCAGACAGCCACTGCTGATGGAATACTCAGGCCAGCTTCGAGGCCTTGAGTGACATGGTGTGATCCCGTCTCAGATCGCCCATCTGGAGTTTGCAGAGACCGCTGGAGCTCAGGAGGAGCTGGAGAACTGTGAAGTCCAGTTGCTGCTGTTGGAGAAAAACCAACATGCTTCCTGGCACTGGGGGCACCGGTTTCCAGCTAGTGAATACTTTTTTCCTCCTAACCTATCGGTCAAGGCCTTCAGAAACAGCCTGTTTCAGCAGAGAGAGCCAACACCACCTCGGAGCTATGTCACCTCAGCCCTAATCAGAGCTGGAGGACTTTACTCGGGACTCGATAGTAAATTCCAGTGCCCTGTGACAGGTTGATTTATCCTTAAGAAGAGAAGGTCAAGTTGCTGTACCTGGCAGCTCCTGCTACTGAGGAAGTGGCATAATGATGATTTGAAATGAATACATTAGTGCTGATATTAATTTTCATTTTGTCCTGCCCTTCCCATTGTCTGAACTGTAAGATGTATTAATAGTCTCCAATCATATCTTACCTGTTTTCTAAGTTTTGATTTTGTTACTATTTTAAGGAGGGGTTTGGGCCACACCAGGTGGAGCTCAGGTCTTACTCCTGGTTCTGTGACTCAGGGGTCATTGTTGGCAATGTTATGGGGGCCATAATTGGCTCTGGGGATCAGAGTAGGATGGACAACATGCAAGAACCTTGACAAGCTCCTCCAGGCCTTGTCTGTTTGTTTTATAAGCCGGAGGAAAGGGGAGTAAGATTTAGCTCAAAGAGAACAATTGCCTAGAATGAACATCAAAGGATAAAGGGACTTTATACCCTATTTGGGGCAGGTTAGACTGTTGAGGGTTGTAAGAAGGAGGCCTACATTATGTTAGGAAGAAGACTGCATCTTCATTTGGGGAATTAAAGGAAATTTAAAGAGGTGTGTGATGATGCCAAGTTAATAAGCAACAGCGAAGGTGCCTTTTATTATGTCAATTTAGCTAAATTGTAACAGTATTTCCCAGAATTCTTTTTTCCATTATGGTTTTCCAGTAGCTGTTGGCTAGAAGAGAAATTTGTGTAGGATTTGAAAGGCAGACATGAAACAGTAGCAATAACATTCTGAAGGTCACAACTTGTTGACATATGTGAGAGCTAGTCCTGCAGTTCCTTCAGTTACCACTGGATCTTCTGCAAGTTGTGAGCCTGGGGCCAGGTACATTATGCCACAGTACGTGAAGGGCACCCTGGCTCCAGCAGAAAACTGAGCACATGCTTTGCTTGTTGGAGGACTGGGTTTGAGGCCTGGGCTTCTAGTCCTCAGCTCCCCTGTACCTTTGGTAAGGATTGCTGAGCACACAGCCAGGAGTAGCCCCTGAGTGCCATCAGGTGTGGTCCAAGACGAACAAAAACATGGAAAACTTTGGAGAAAAACAAAACAAAACAACTATCTAGTGCAGAGGGAGGGGTGAGGAAGGAGTCATTAGGGTCATATTTTTATTAATTTCTGGATTTGCAATGCTACAGAGGTATCGTGCAGTACTAAGGATCAAGCCCAGGGTTCTCCATGCAAATCATACACTCCAGCCCTTTGGGCTAGCTCTGCTCCCCTAAAGTTACATATTTTATGTTTGTTTGTTGGGGGGCCACACCCAGCAATGTTCAAGCTGGTTTCCTGGCTCTGCACCCAGCAATCACTCCTGGTGGACTCTGGGGACCAGATGTCAGGGATCAAACCTGGGGCTATGTTCAAGGTAAGGGCCCTACCCACTGTACTATTACTATGGCTTTCTATCCACTTAAGATTAAGCAGTCAGTCTGGAATGAGAGCCTGTTCAATCAGATGTTAGCACACTCTTCCAGGTTAATCTGCCTCTAGCTTCCCTTTCCTCACTCTGCATTGAGAATTTGTCCTTTACTTGTTCTGGAGAGGATCACACAAAACCACACTTCCTAAATGTCCAAATCATACCTGTGACACAACTAGTCATATTGCTACCATATATGACTGAGGTCTCACAATTGTTTGGTGGTGAAACCTGGGTCAAAGAGGAAACAAATTCTTTGAAAAAAATTTTTTTTTCTGAGAAACTTGTTACTTGCCGAATAAACTTGTAATGCCTTAAAGGCTTCCTCATCTTTTTTTTTTTATGGTTGTGTGCTTCATTGGAACCTTACTTACATAAGGGCTCTTTGTCTGACATTAGATGATAGCTAATTTTTAACAGACCATTTTTTCCCAGACATTTAGACATTAGCTAACCAAGTTCTCACAAACTCTGCTATGTAGGTGTCACACCATACAGAGGGATCTCCTATTCATGAAGTATGAATTTCAAAATGGTGGCAACAGAGCATGAAACCAGAAGTGGCACCCTATGTAACTGAATCAGTAGCGAGTCCACAAGACCACCTTGCTTCTATTTTACGTTCCAGAAACTGGCTTCTGTTGGAGACCAAATAAATTCCCAAGTCAGAGGCAGAATTCTAGCAAAGGTTTGACCCCCTATTAAATGTTTCCCAATTAAGCTAGATTCTTCCCTGTTAAACCAAATCCCTAAATTCATTAAACACAAATTTTGTTGCCTCTTCTTTTTGCCCTAGTTCATCCCGACACCTCTATGTTAAAAAAAAGCACCCAATCAATTGGTTTAATTTTATGTAAGACGGGATGCAGCAAACTGCTTCGTCTGTATAAGAATTCTCGTACCTTTCCTGCAGTGTAATGTCAGTGGAAAATGCAAAACTGTCTATGTGTAATACCAGTGGGCGGAATCAAAAAGAACGCTAATGGCAGAAGTTGTGACAAATGACTGCAGTGACTTTCTAACAGCGAAACAACGTATCATTAAGCATTCTTCTTTCTGTTTTGGTAACTAAATAACGTCCCGGGACTCATTTAAATGTAAAAGTTCGAAGTCACCGGCGTCAAGGAGAGATTTGAAGGTGAAGGGCTCCAGAGAGGAGGTGACCGAAGGGAGCCCCATACCTCAAAAAAAAAAAAAAAACCCACCCCAACCTCAGCCGGAGCGCGCGCCTGCGCAGAACGAAGCCTCCTGCGCAGAGGCCGGGCCGGAAGAGCTGGGACGAGCGGGGGCGGGAACACGGGTTGCTAGGAGAGCGCGATGACGTCGGGGGCGCCGGCGCTCCGCTCCACCAATGGGCGCTGCCGCCGGTGGTGACGCGCCGCGTGCGTCACGCTGACGCCGCGCGAAGGGCACAGATCTAAGGGCTGGGAGGACATTTCGGCCTCTGTGAGCCGCTGCCTTCCCGAGGAGGAGGTTGTGATTTCGCCATCTTAGGGAGTGAGTGTGACCCGGCCTTCCCCGCGGAGGGTGGGTGCGGGAGCCAAGCGCGGTGCGTCCCCCGAGGGGCCCTAGCGCTGGCCGAGCGCCCGGCCGGCCGCCTCTGGGGAGAACGCGGTGACCTCGTCAAGGGCGCGCGGGCGGGAAAGGAGCGGGGCCCGCGTCGGGGTACCCCCTGGCGTGCCGGCTCACCCCCGCCCGTCTCCCTGTGTCCCCCTCCTCCTCTTCCAGGAAGATGTTCTCGTCCGTGGCGCACCTAGCGCGGGCGAACCCCTTCAACCTGCCCCACCTGCAGCTGGTGCAGGATGGCAGCGCGGCCGGGACCCCGCAGCCGCCGCGGCGCTCCCGCAGCCTGGCCGCCGCCGCCGTGGAAGGTGAAGTCAAGACCGTGCGCGGGTGCGGATGCGGGTGCGGGGCGGTGCGGGGCGCCCCGGCCCGGGAGGACGCGCGGGAAGGCGCCCGATTGCGACCGGAGGCGGGCGGGGTGGGGGCGGGAGGATGCCAGTCCCGGGGGGCGGCTCGGCCGCTGCCGGGCTCCTTGGCCCTCCCTCAAGGGCGTGGAAAAGGCCTCGCTGGGCTCGGCTGCCCCCGTGACCTCGGTGTCCTCGAGGGAGCAGAGGCCCAGGGACCGGGCCCAGCTCCTTATCTGCCCCGCCGCGGGCCGGCCGGTCAGCAGATCAGGGATCGGGTCAAGTCGGTTCGGCAAAGCCCGGGCCGCCCCGCAGTCCTGACCCCATCCCCCGGCCTTGGATTGAGCTCGCCACCTCCACCCTTCCTCCCCCGCAAAAAAAAAAAAAAATCTCCTCCCACCAGCATTCGCTGCCTTGGAGTAGTTGGCACAGGCGGCTCCAGATCGCTAAGCGCCGGGGAGCCCTTTTGGTATTCTCGGGATGCACTGTGATCAGATCCAGCTTCCCACTTGACGGTGTAGATTTGAAATCCTGATGGAGTGTTTGTGCTGAAAACCCCGAAAAACGAATTGTAGGGTTAGCTTGAGAAAACGTTATTTACCGGTTCCTGTAAAAACTACTCTTATGTGGTTATCCAGATGTTCCTGTTAACGTGTTTGCTGTGGGGCAAAAAAAAAAAAGCGTATGTGTGTGCATATATGTATGTGTGTGTGTGCACACACATAATATGTATATATAAATACAGACACCCACATACTTGTTCCTTCACTTAAAAAGTCAAAGCTAATGCCTTTTTGGCACTTACTGCGTTTGCAGGAATTTGTTGAGCTTTATGCCATTGTTGATGGCAAGCTCTGACAGGTACAGGGTGTTTTATCAGCCGAATTTGTACTCGAAATGTGTTCATGTCAGCTGTCAAATTGAAGTTTGGTGTTTAATTGGGAGAGCTATTAATGTTGCAGAAAAACTTTCATTTATAAATCAAATAAGAGATTCTAGTGTCTCGTGGATAGAATTGATTTTTTTTTTAATTTTTGGCAGTGAATTTCTTCTTAGGTGCACTAAATGCAAAATTCCATTTTCAGCATACCTAAAAAGTGGCCAGAGCTGTAGTGCTGCACAGTGCTGTTTTACAGGGAAGCATAGTTCTCTTTCCCACGGCCTTCATCATCTCTGAAGACTTACTTGATTTTCTTTTTTCAATCAAACAGAGGAGTATAGCTGTGCCTATGGATCTGGCAGATTCTTTATCCTTTGTGGAATTGGAGGAATTATTAGCTGTGGCACTACACATACAGCATTGGTTCCTCTAGATCTGATTAAATGCAGAATGCAGGTTTGTTTTGCATGCTGGGTTAAATAAAGCATATTGTTGACGCATGGTGGTTGCGTTGTAAGGTGTAGTCATCTACTAACAAGCTGTGTGGAAACCTAACTGTCCAGGAGGTAAGTTGATGCTGTAACCTGAGTTTTGTATTCACTTGCATGGTGTGTCTTGTCTTATTACAGAATACAGTTGTGAATATGGCTCCATGAAGTTTTATGCACTGTGTGGCTTTGGTGGGGTCTTAAGCTGTGGTCTGACACACACGGCTGTTGTTCCTCTGGATTTAGTGAAATGCCGGATGCAGGTTTGTATTGCGATGACAACAATGAACTTAATTTTCACTGTTGATTCAGTTCCAAATAATTTAGAAAGGCTTTACAAATGAGAAGCTTTTGAAACCTCATAACTGCTAGAGACTTTCACAGAAAGGGGGAAAAGGCAGGATTTTCTTTAAACTTATAAACTTTTTTTCTTGACCTTTATTTTTGGGTCACACTAGGTGATACTTGGGTTACTCCTCACTCTGTATTCAGTAATTATTCCTGGTTGTGCTTGGGGGATCATGGGGTGCTGGGGAATGTGGGTCAGGTGTGTACAAGGCGAGTGCCGTACCTGCTGTACTCTCTCTTCAGCACTGGTGATCTCTATTTTTTAATTGTTTCAAATCCAAGAAATGTCTCTCTTAAGTTTGGAGGATGGTTAGATTGTTGGATTCAGACTTGCTGTTATTGTTCATTTGGGGGGACAGGGCTGCAGTTGGGCTCAGTTCTGTTTAGAGTTTCTCTTCAAGACTTTATGGCTTTTAATGCTCCAAATAGTCATTTTTTCTAGTTACGTGAGGTGGATAATCTGTCTTTTTTAAGGGGATGGGATTCACACCAACAGTACTGGGGGGGAACTCTTGGCTCTGCACTTATGACTTACTTCTGGTAGGTTTCGGGGGACCATATGGGATGCTGGGGATTGAACCCACATTGGACAGGTGGAGGGCAAGTGTCTTACTATTTGCTCTGGCCAGCCCCAGTCATCTGTTACCGATAAAGATCGGGGCAGTGATCATATAGATGAAAAACTCAGTTGTGTTTATTGGGGGGTGCGCATACTGTCGTTCTGGGGGATCTGAGGTACCAGGTATCATTCCCACTCAGCCAAGTGCAAGGCGAGCACCTTAGTTACTGTAATCTCTCTCTGGCCCAATTATTTTAGTTTTAAAATAGTGATTAGGTTTGACTTTTGTACACATAACTGGATACTTATAGACTTTTTACAATTAAACTTACCTTAATTAGGATTATTGAAGTAAAAATAATCAAACATCAAAAATTTGTCTCAAACAGGAGTAGAAGTCAACTTACCTAAAAGAAAGGAAGGTGAAATACTATCAGGGAGAGGAAGGTGACGTATTCCAGTCCCCATTCTAGTATTGACAGAACTAGTAGAGATGACAATTCCCCCCCCCCCCCCCATTATAGAATACAGTGTTTTCTTGACATGAATTTGTTACCTAGTCAAAAGGCATTCTCATGCTGATTGGCCTTTTATTTTGGCAGTGCTTCGGACTTATTTCTGGCTCTGCCCTCAGGGTCATTCATGAGCGGGGCTCAAGAAACTTACGGTGCTAGGGATCGAATCTGGGTTAGTCACATGAAAAGTAGTCAAATCCCTACTTGCTGGATGATTTGTCTTTCAAACTTTGTCTTAAGTTCAGTCTTGATAGTATATCTACTTAATGGGCTGGCATGTATGGGAATAAGATTTGATATTTTAGGCAATAATTTTAAAGGCTTTTTTGGGGGGTGGTGGCCTCATTCATGCAGCAGTGTTCTGGGGATCATATATGTGCAAGGCTAATGCTCTAATTGCTGTACTATCCATTTCCCTTTTGAACTCATCTGTTCACTTTTATTTTGGGGCCACACCCAGCAATGCTCAGGTTACTTTTGGCTCCCTACTCAGGAATTACTCCTCGTGGGACTTGGGAATATTTGGGGATATAGTCCAGGTATACTACCTGCTATACTATTTTTCCAGCCTCTTTTTGGACTTTAGGGTTCAGTCGGGGGGGAAATACTCTTTATGGAGCCAATTTTGTTATATATTTTTATAGTGTTAACTTTGATTCTGCTTACAAAAAAAAAGAAAATAGACCTAAATGTGTAAGGTTAGATTTACTAAGGATGTCATAGATAATGGGTTAATATGCAGTGAACTTGTATTTCATTATGTTTAGTTACTCGTTTATTTTAGAGCCAAAAGGAAAAGGCTTTTAATGAACTTGAAGTGTTTGTGGGGAGTATTAGCTGTCTGGCATATCTAACTATTTTCTTCTTTTAAATAAAGGTGGATCCCCAGAAGTACAAGGGCATATTCAATGGATTCTCCGTTACCCTTAAAGAGGATGGTGTTCGTGGCTTGGCCAAAGGATGGGCTCCAACTTTCATTGGCTACTCCATGCAGGGCCTCTGCAAGTTTGGCTTTTATGAAGTCTTCAAAGTGGTGTATAGCAACATGCTGGGAGAGGTATGTGATCAGTTTTCATTGTATTTGGGCCACACCCACGGTGCTTAGGGATATTCTGTCCTGCACTCAGGGATCACTCCTGGTAGGCTGGAGGGGAGAAGCTATATGGGATGGTAGGGATAGAACCCAGATCAACCTTGCGCAAGGCACACTCTACCTGATTTTATTATCACACTCTGATCTCTAATTTTGAAATTAAAAGTCCTGTTTACAGGATTAAGATTTAAAGGATCTTAGATTTTTTGTCTGACCCATTTTGTTTTAGAACTGAGAACATGGTTCTAGAAAGGGCAAATGACATGCTTCAAATCATAAGGCTGTTTTGGCAGAGACCAAATGAGAAGGAAGTGTATTCCATTTGATTTCAGTGCTCTTATATGCTTCCAAACAAATTTAAGGTTTTTGAGGATTGGGGTTTCTTGGATTGAATTACTTAGATTGGATACTTGTTGATGGGGGTGTGGGTGATAACATAGTTTATCCATGTATAGTTCACGGAAAGTATAATAAATGCTCAAGAAATGTCTGAAATTTAACTGTTTGCAGAGCTGTTCTTTAAAGTTAAATTGAAAACAGACCTTATATTGGCAATTGTTTTGTGTTTTTTTGATTAGGAAAACACCTACCTCTGGCGTACATCACTATATTTGGCTTCCTCTGCCAGTGCTGAATTCTTTGCTGACATTGCCCTGGCTCCTATGGAAGCTGCTAAGGTTCGAATTCAAACCCAGCCTGGTTATGCCAACACTTTGAGAGATGCAGCTCCCAAAATGTACAGGGAAGAAGGCTTAAATGCGTAAGTAAACATTTATATGTAATGCAAAAATTGCATTTTGTAACAGGTCTACCAGGCCTTTTTGTTGTTTCTTACATAGAAGATACAGTTCTGTGGCTCAGATAAATTGATAAAAGGCATGAGCCTTTACTGTATGGTTTTTGTAAATTTATCATTCTTCCAAATGATTTGGTATTTAAACATTAACTGTTAACCTTTGGGGGAAAGTTTGCTAGAAATTTTTGTCATCAATGTTCACATTTTAAAATTGACATGTAGGGGAGATGTGGGTCAGTGTTAAGAGTGTGTTTTGCATGTGTCATCCCTGGCATGTCAAAGGGAATATTTATACTCAGGCATAACATGCTTCCTTAGATCCACCTTTGTGGGTGCCAATCTTGCACTGAGTTCTACTCGTAAACTTTGGTTTCTTGTAGTTCCAGTGAAAGAAACATCCAGCAACTTTTTTGGTTGTATAGTCAAAGGTGCTTGAGTCATTGGCATGTGAGATCAATATACCTGCATGTTAGTCTTAGGTTCTGATAGAAATGACATGCAATTATGCTGCCATTGTTGACTATCGGGACATGACTGGTGTGCGGACATTTCTGCTAATGATGGAAAATTCGGCTGGGGGAAATCTTACGTAACAACTGAGTAAACAGGTCTCCTGGTTTCCTAGATTCTACAAGGGGGTTGCTCCTCTGTGGATGAGACAGATACCATATACCATGATGAAGTTCGCCTGCTTTGAACGCACTGTTGAACTACTGTACAAGTTTGTGGTTCCCAAGCCCAGAGATGAATGTACAAAGGCAGAGCAGCTGGTTGTAACATTTGTTGCAGGTTACATTGGTATGTATTGTTATGTTTTTAGGGTTAATACATTTTTACTGATTAGCTCCTATAGGGCTGGAGAGATAGCACAGCAGGTAGGGCGATTTGCCTTGCTCGCGGCCAACCCGAGTTCGATTCCTCTGTCCCTCTTGAGAGCCCGGCAGGCTAACGAGAGTGTCTCGCCAGCATGGCAAAGCCTGGCAAGCTACGCGTGATGTATTCAATATGCCAAACACAATAACAATAAGTCTCACAATGGAGACATTACTGGGCCTGCTCGAGTAAATTGATGAACAGCAGGGCAGTGCAGTGCAGTGCTTCTCCTAAAGTCTGTTGTGGTTTGAATATCATCATAAAGCTGGAATTGATTGATTTTACTGATGTATTTGTGCATTTTTGGGTGGGGTGATGGGAAGGCCACACCCAGCTTTGCTCAGGTCTTACTCTGAACTTGGATCACTTGTTGCAGGACTCGGGACCACATGGGGTGCAGGTGGATTTCTTTTTTTTGTGGGGATGAAGGCACACCCCATTTCAAAGCTGTTCATGATTGGGTTTCAGTCATAGAGTTTTCCAACACCTATTCCTCCACCAGTATACAATTCCTACCACGGATGACCCCAGTTTCCCTCCCACTATCCCCTGCCTCACCCCACTCCCACTTCTGTCTTTCTCTGTTTTTCTTTCTCCCTCTCTGCATCCCTTCCTCCCTCCAACATTTTAATATAAGAGGAAGTATTTGTAAAAACCTGAATATAAATATTTTTGAAAAATCACTATTTTACATTATAACTTTGCCAATTCAGTACATCTGATATTTAGAAATAGGATAATTACAATGTTGTGGACCTTGTTGGGTTTTAAAATATACACACATACACCATATTTGATCATTTATCTTTTTTTTTCAGCTGGAGTCTTCTGTGCAATTGTTTCTCACCCTGCTGATTCTGTGGTGTCCGTCTTGAATAAAGAGAAAGGAAGCACTGCTTCTCAGGTCCTTCAGAGACTTGGATTTAGAGGTAGGGCTGTGTTTTGATGTTTCAGCTTATAAGGAATAAATTACAGTTTTGTATACGTTTCTTAATCATGTTTCATTTTTCAACCAGGTGTATGGAAGGGACTCTTCGCCCGCATCATCATGATTGGCACTCTGACTGCCCTTCAGTGGTTCATCTATGATTCTGTGAAGGTCTACTTCAGGCTCCCCCGCCCTCCTCCTCCTGAGATGCCAGAGTCTCTGAAGAAGAAGCTTGGGTTAACTCAGTAGATTGATCAAACTAAATGTGGACTGAAACTGTGTGTTGATCAGTGTTGAGGAAAGTGCAAAAGGAACTTTTATATATTTGACAGTGTAGAAAATTGTCTTCCTGAGAGTAATTACTGTAGTACTCTTGCATAAGGCAAGGGTTTCAAACTTACTATTGAAATAAACTCATCAGCTCATGATTTGTCTGTGACTTCATGATTTTTTAAATTATTTACGAAGCTGGTAACATTGTTAGGTCACAACATGCTTCCTTAGATCCACCTTTGTGGATGTCAGTCTTGATCTGAGTTCTACTTGTTAACTTTGGTTTCTTGTAGTTCCAGTGAAAGAAACATCCAGCAACTTTTTTGGTTGTATAGTCAAAGGTGCTTGAGTCATTGGCATGTGAGATTAATATACCTGCATGTTAGTCTTAAGTTCTGATAGAAATGACATGCAATTATGCTGTCATTCTTGACTATCAGGACGTGACTGGTGTGCGGACACTAATGATGAAAATTTCTGCTTGGCAATGGCAGAAGTTAAGTCTCCCATATTCTCTAGAGGGATTATTTAATGTAAAAGAAATAGAATTTAGAACCTCAAGAAATAAATGCTTACCTCTTTACTGAATATTCTGGTCTATGTATAAGTTTCTAAATTTGTCACTGAATAGTGTTTCTATTTTTAGGCAATGCCCTAAAATTTTCAATAACTTGGATAGTCATTTATGGTTATATTTTGCGAAGTAAATTTCAGCATATGACCAAATTTTTGCAACATTACATTTTTTTATGATTCTAATACTGCCTATTTTAAGGTAAATTAGCCTAATTTTCTAGACCTATAGTTTAAATTGTACTACTATTTTTTATCTTGGGGTCCTTAGGGTCTACTGGTTCAGTGCTTGGGTTGGGGTTTGTCATAGCAGGGCAATGCCATCAAACTTGAGCCTTCTGCATGCAAAACAGGCACTCGGCACTTTGAACTCTTTCTGGCCCTAAATAGTTTCCAAGGGACCAAAGTGGTTGGTCATAGCTACCTTAAGCTTCCAATATTTTACCTATGTTGCAGAGAGAAGGGTCTGTAGCTGAAAAATTGAGCCAAACAAAAGTTGGAGGGCAATCTGAACTCAGGCAAGTGATACGAGTGGCGATAAGCGCAAGTAGTACCACGTGTCACTGCTCTTACTATACTTTTGGTCACAAAAGTCCCAGAGAACTATCCCAGAGAAATTCAGTTTCACAGAAAAGGAAGATGGGAGTTGGATATGCATGTATGTATATGGGACCAACTCAAAAGAGCTTTGGCTTTGAAGATTCAGGGTTTGTAGTTCAGCCATCTCACCGAAATTTCCATTATCAACCTGGTAGATTCAAGGTGGGCTGGATTGGGTGTAACCTGACTGAACCAAGCAATGCTACTAACAGGACAAAATTTGCTTCCATGTTAACGAAATAGTCTCTGAAGCTGCATGTTTCGATCTGGTAGAGATAAGCCATTCTTCAAAATCCGAGTGTGATGAATTACTCAGCTAGTGATGTGGCTCAGTGAGGAGTTCCTTAACCCAGCTTCTGACACTGCATTTGGACACTTAGAAATGCCAGGACTTGAGCCTGTCCCGACCACATATAAAACATGCTTAGCCCTTATACCTCCCACACCCACAGCTTTTCAGTGTGAATTTTCTTTTTTCTAAAGTATGCTGGAAATGCTTCCTCTGCTTTGTAATAATGTGGGATTGGTTGCACAGCCAGTGCTCTCGGGGTGTCGCATGCCTTCCTCTGCACTGGGGAGGCCCTGATGAACTGTATGAACCATGCATTGGCAGAGCTGACTCTGAGCTGAACCCAACGGAATGATACAATATAGAGAGTAAATTGTAGGGCCTATCCTCTACCTGTGCTTCCTTTCAGCAGTGCTATGGATAGAGCCCAACCTCATGTAGGAAGCCAAGTTTCCATTGTGAGCATCTCATGAGATGTTCATATGAGATGAATACCATGTGGTCCTATCAGTATCATGTTGGGGGATACGTAAAGTGTCCACAACAGTTGTGAAGTTTTGTACGTGGCAGGCACTGTGAATTAAAAGCTATACTACTTTAGCATAAAATCATAGTTTGTATTAAGATAATAGTGTTTAAAACCACATGTCATAAGAAACATTTCAGACAGAAGAATCAGCATCACAGTTGGGTGCAGGGACTGTAGAGGTAGTACAGCAACTTTAGGCACTTGCTTTGCATGTTGCTGATAAGGGTTCAGTCTCCAGTAAACCATATGATCGCCCAAGTCTGCCAGGAGGTATCCCTCAAATGACCCAGGAGTAGGTCCTGAACACAACTGGGTGCAGATCCCAAACAACACAATTGCTGTGCCTTCTGAAATAATGTTAGCCAGCTACTCCTGACATCTCTTATTTCAGATAGTACAGCGGTAGGGCGTTTGCCTTGCACGCAGCCAACATGGCCGACCCGAGTTCGATTCCTCCGCCCCTCTCGGAGAGCCCGGCAAGCTACCGAGAGTATCTCGCCTGCACGGCAAAGCCTGGCAAGCTACCCGTGACGTATTCGATATGCCAAACACAGTAACAACAAAGTCTCCAATGGAGATGTTACTAGGCCCGCTCGAGCAAATCGATGAACAACGGGAGGACAGTGACAGTGACAAGATAATCACGTCTGCAAGGCTGACCTCACTTGATAGTCTCAGAAGTGTATGTAGGAGTGAGTGTGTGTGATGTTCACTGTCTCTAGCCCCTGTTTATGAATCTTAGTTATTAAAGTTTAGTTTTAGAAGGTAACTAATGCAAAATTTTGTAGCCAAGACAAGTTTTTATGTATTTTTGTAGGCCATAGTGCCATGTACACACTAACATTCTCTTCTCTGTAGGTTTGCCCAGTATAGCTTTGGTAATTCCATTTTTGGAAAATGAAACATCAAAAAATAATTTCTGGCTAATAGTTCTGCTGTACTACTAGGCCCCATCTTGTTAATAGATAGTACAGAAGGTAGGGTATTTGCCTTGCATGGAGCCGACCTGGGTTTCATCCCTGGCATCTCTGTGGTCCCCTGAAACCATCCAGGAATAATTTCTGAACACAAAGCCAGGAGTAACCCCTGAGCATTGCTGGGTGTGGTCCAGAAACAACAGCCAGAGATAGTACTGTGGGTAGGGCACGTTCCTTGTATACCACTGAGCACCGCTAGAAGCAAACCTGAGCGGTGCCTGCCAAATATTTTTTTTTGGGGGTCACACCCGGTGATGCACAGGGGTTACTCCTGGCTCCGCACTCAGGAATTACCCCTGGCGGTGCTCAGGGGACCATATGGGATGTTGGGAATCCAACCCGGGTCGGCCACGTGCAAGGTAAACGCCCTACCCGCTGTGCTATTGCTACAGCTCACCAAATAATGTGTATTTTAATAAAATTAAGGGCCAGAATGATAATATAAGGGTTAGGGTACATGTCATTTGTTTTTTGCTTTAGGGCCACATTAGGTGGTGCTCAGGACTTAGCCTGACTCTGAACTAGTGCTCAGGGATAATTCCTGGTAGGCTTTATGGGGGACCATATGGGGTGCTGGGCACTGATCCTGGGTTGGCCACATGAATTGCAAAATGCTTTACCTGCTGTACTACTTCTCTGGGTATAGGATGCATTTCTTGTATATATGGCCATACCTTCATTTATCCATGGCACCATAGTCTGCCAAGCCCTGCCTGGGTGGCCCAGGTAATCCCCAGCACTGCAGGACTGAAGTAGCACTGCTTCCTCTAGTAGCCCCCATGTTGAATAGCTGGCCCTTTTTGTGTGAGAATCATTGGGAGAGCCCTCCCACTCCCCACCTCAACAGCCCCCCACCCCCAAAAAAAATCCTCAAATTAGAATTTGTGGTCTCTAACTGACCTACCAGTTTCCACTATACAACATAATCTGGTATTTGTGTATATTAAGAAATGATCACAGTAAGTTTAGTATGATATTCACACCCATCTCTAGTTACATGAGTTTTTCTGGTGATGAGGATTTGTCATTTATTTTCCTCTCCCTTGGTTGTTGTGATGACCAGGTCGTATGCTGTGGTGCCAGGTACTGTGGGGAACCTCATAGGGATCAAACTCAAGATCTCATTCTTGCAAGGAAGTATTTTACCATTGAATTGTCTCTGAGTTAGCCTAGTGATAAGAGAGTGAGTGTGTGTGTGTAATGAGAATCCCATAAAGAAAAGCAAATTCTATGTCCTGAGCTGATGTGCAGACAGCACCAGAATGGGGTGTGCGTAATGGGAAGAACTTTGTTTTTATTTTGGGGTCCCAGCCAGTGATGCTCAGGCTCCATGCTTGGGTTTGTCCCCAGTGATGCTCAGGGGACCACATAATTTAGAGATCCTATCCCAGATTTACCAAGCATGCACATCAGCCCGATGAGCCAATTTAGGGGCCGGAGCGAAAGTACAGTGGGGCAGGGCATTGGGTAGGGCATTTGCCTTGCACGTGGCTGACCCGGGTTCCATCCCCGGCATCCCATATGGTCCCCCAAGCACTGACAGGAGTAATACCTGAGTGCAAAGCCAGGAGTAAACCCTGAGCATCGCTTGAGCATTACTGGGGTATGACCCAAAACTCCAAAAAAAAAATTATTATTTTTATAAAGTGGTTCACAATAATATATATATATATATATATGTGTGTGTGTGTGTGTGTGTGTGTGTGTGTGTGTGTGTGTGTAAGTAAAGGCCCTCCCGTTGATCATCGATTTGCTTGAGCGGGCCCAGTAACGTCTCCATTGGAGACTTTGTTGTTACTGTGTCTGGCATATCGAATACGTCACGGGAAGCTTGCCAGGCTCTGCTGTGCGGGCGAGATACTCTCGGCAGCTTGCCGGGCTCTCCGAGAGGGGCGGAGGATATCACTGTCCTCCTGCTCATCGATTTGCTCTAGCGGGCCCAGGAACGTCTCCATTGTGAGGCTTGTTGTTACTGTGTTTGGCATATTGAATACATCACGGATAGCTTGCCAGGCTTTGCCATGGGGGCGAGATACTCTCCGTAGCTTGCTGGGCTCTCTGAGAGGAGCGGAGGAATTGAACCCAGTTTGGCCGGGCTGGCTACTTGCAAGGCAAATGCCTTATTGCTGTGCTGTACACACACACACACACACACACACACACACACACACAGATATACCTATATAT